CAGCAGGTTGGAGGTGAGACAAAAACCAGATTTTCTTTTAACATGTTAACCCACTGTCTTCAGAGATTGCTGGCTTTCTGAAGAAAGCAGTTTTAAAGACAAAAAAAAAAAAAAAAAAGGCAGAAAGAAAGAAAAAGAAAGCCTAGCTACATGACTGAGATATTCTTCATTCTATGGCCTGAAAAAGTCTAGTACAAATTCAAAGTATGGCAAGGAGATGATAAAATTCATCTAAAGTTCAGTCTGAAATAATGGGGATGGAATTGTCCTACCATAGCAAAGCATGTTATAAAGCCACAACAATTAAAGCAAGAGTATATACTGCTAGCAAATCAAAATACATGGTTCTGGTTCAATATGTAAAAGAGTACTTAAGTAACATTTCAAAGCAAACCAGTGGAGAAAGGATTAACTATTGAATAATGGCACTGACAACCAGTCACACATCTGGAAAGAAATCAAATCACCACGATTATGACCTACATGAGAGACTTATCGCAGTGGAGAATTATCTCAAATTTGATTTAAGATTTAATAAATTGAGTACAAATCATTAGATGAATGAAATAGTAAACATGATAAATTAATGAATGGAATAAATCCCACTAAGTTACAAGAAGATGTCTATGTAATTAAGATTGTTTGTCTCCTTTTGCCTCTTGAGGCAAGAGATACTTAGATTTCTACTGCATTTTTAAGGAGATGAAGGAATGCCTGGGCTTACAGAGCCACGTAGCAGCGTAGAAATTCATGGGGAAGGGTTTGGCAAAAATCTTGGACAGCAAACAGTGAGGTCCGATCCTCGGGCACGATCCTACCCAGATGTGAGCTGTGGTGCAGTGCCTAAGAAAAACAAGCCACTCCTTTAGGACTGAGCCCTGAAATGACAGCTAGAAGGACAGACTTCAAATGGCAAGTCACCAGCTGCTTCTCCCCCTACAACTCTAGGGAGCAGGCCAGCTCCAGGCTGACAGTTACAGAGTTAAGTCTCTCCCCTAGCAACATGGAAGAAATGTCTTCACATTTCTATTTTCTTGGAACAGAAAGTCTTTCTAAAGCTACAATGTAAGCAAGCAATGAAAATGTCTGTGTGACTAAAAATGCCAGAAATAAAATTAAAAGCAACGAGAAACTGAGAAGAAACCTGAAGATCTTCCAAACCTGAGTCTGATGTGGAGTCTAGGGCTATCACAGCTTTGCAGGGGATCCTGGAGGGTGTTCTGTTTACTTAAAAACGACCTTATTCTTCTGTACTTTTATAAAAGTACATTTTAACTCCCCTCCCCGCAGGACAGGGTCTCACCATGTAGCTGTAGCTGGCCTGGAACTCTCTATGTAGGCCAGTCTGGACTCAAACTTAGAGATCCACTTACCTCTGCCTCCCAAGTGCTTAGCATAAAACTACATTTTAGACTTCAGTTTTTTTTAGGTTTATTTTATGTTGTATGTATGAGTGTGTGCCTGTGCCTGTGGAGGTCAGAAGAGGGTGTCAGATCCCCTGGAACTGGAGTTATAGATAGTATGACCTGCCTTGCATGTGCTGGGAACCAAACCTGGTTCTCTGTGAAAGCAATGAGTGCTCTTAGCCATTAAACCATCCCTCTGTCCCCAAACTTAGACTTTAATGTCAAGTAAGAATGACAACACAGACACACTCCTGTGAAGAATTTGGGGAAAAAAGAAGAAAATAAAGTGATCATAACCACATCACCAGAAATGGTCCCTCCCAAAACTTTGGTGTACTTATTTCTGAACATTTTTCTCCCCACAAATACATACATCTGTTTTCTTTAAAAAATTGGAATGAAGTGTAGGCGCTCCAGTCATCTATACTGGCATGTTAGTAATGTAACACACTGTCAATTAAACAATTACCAGTCACTGGGCTTTTCTTCTACACAGTCACTTAACCCTCACAATATTCTCCCCAAAGAGAATCATCTACCTGCCCGTGGAGCCTAAGCACCTGGCTTCACACCCCTGCGCGTCCACGCAATAGCTGGGTGAGACAGGTGCCTCGTTTACCCAAACCTTGGATGCCTCCTCGGTGAAATGGATGTCACACCAGGAGCCTGCTCCAGGCCGGTGTTCTCAGTGACTGGTGCCATACCCACTATCTACTGCACTGTGCTTCCCAAGCTCTCACAGCCAGCTCCACAGTCAAATTCAAAGCCGAGTCTGCCCATGTCCCACTCTCGAGGAGGATTAGAGTATGCCCAAGGCAAACTCCATTCTCAGTACCCCAGCAGGAAACACAAGTTCCTCTGTGGCTTTCCCCAAATGTTGAAAGGCTGATGACCTCAAACAACACTGAAGATCAATTTAAAGCCCCACGAGAGTGCTGGTGTTAAGGGCACACCAGAGGCCATGCACTCATCAGTACACAGGGCCTCAATTCTGGGGTACAAGCATGGCCCCCTGAGACTGAAAGATCAAGACCATCAATCAGTCCTTAATGTGCTTTCACTGGACACTTGCAACCACATTCTATTCTAAGGTCATTGTTTGGAAATAAAAAGCAGCAGGCCTGTGGTTAAAGGTGTTCATTGTTCTTATATATGACATGGGCTCGATTCCCAGCACCCATATGGCAGCACAAAACCATTCATAAAACTCCAGCTCCAGGGAATCCAACACCCTCTTCTGACTGAGGGTACCAGGCATGTTTGTGGTATGCAGATATACGAGCAGGGAAAATACTGATATATGCTGTGGGATAATGTTTTTGTACACTGGTTTAATAAAATGCTGATTGGCCAGTAGCCAGGCAGGAAGTATAGGTGGGATAAGCAGACAAGGAGAATTCTGGGAAGAGGAAGGCTGAGTCAGGAGACGCCAGCCTGCTGTCCAGGGAGCAGCATGTAACAGCACACAGGTAAAGTCACAGAACATGAGGCAACATATAGATTAACAGAAATGCGCTGAGTTTAAGTGTGAGAGGTAGTCAGTAGTAAGTCTGAGCTAATGGCCGAGCAGTTTTAATTAATATAAGCCTCTGTATGTTTACTTGGGTCTGAGCAGCTGTGGACCGGGTGGGGCACAGGAAAACTCCAGCTACACATATACATAACATAAAATAAATATTTAAAAATAAAACGGAAAGAAACGGAAAGCAGCAAGCAATCACAGGCCACATTTAAACAGATGCAGAGAAGGTACAACAGCTTCCATGCAGAGCAGGCCCAGCAGGTCTGCTGTACTTGGGCTGACGCCCTGACCAAGCTTTCAAAATCATTTGATCCAGGCCTCTGCAGCAGGCCCTCCGACTAGACAGCTATCCCTAGTCTTCACTTTCTAAATCCTCTTCTGACCCCTAGTCAATGAAGTTCTGCCCACCCCATGTCTAAAACCCTTGGATGTTTTCAAATGCCAAGTCATCTGGCTGAGTATAGGGCCCACAGTGCCCACCCTCCACAGGACCATGACCTCTCTCTCACACAATGGATGAGCAAGGCCAGTTCTGCTTACACTACACTACCTCCCACCTAACTACCTCCAGGGACACCCATATATGAGGCCATCCACATCCCCTGTAGAGCCAATCATTCATCTCTCCAACATGCTATATGTGATGATGCCTTTGGATCTGGCTTCCTTCCCAGGGGGTCAAGTCCCACCACAGTTATAAGCCATTACAGCAGTGCCAACAGTAACGTAAGAGCCACAGACAGGAGAACACACATACAGATGGGTTAAATCTGCATGCCCCATAGGAAGCTGTATAAACCCCATGAAAGGTTTTATCCAGAGTTCTTAAAAGTTGTAATGGTTGCTCCTTTTTTTTTCCCCCCTTCAGTTTTTTGAGACAGGGTTTCTCTGTGTAACAGCTCTGACTGCCCTGGAATTTGCTGGGATTAAAAGGCGCATCATCACTTGGCTCAATTCTTTTTTTTTTTTTTTTTTTCCTGGTCTAATAAGGTCTGTTTTAATTTTGAAAGTTTAAATACAATCTTATGAAAATAGAAAACATGTAAGTTTGTGTATTTACAAATGGCTATATTATGAAGAATAGTAGCAAATGAAAGGAAAACATGTCAAAGAAGTGACTAAGAATAAAGACCAGCAGATTTAACATTTTCTGTGGAGATATACGGTCAAAACAAACTCGTTAGTTTTTCATTGGCTTCCATGAGCTAACGACTCTTATGATGGTATATTTATTTCCTTAAAATAGGTATACATTTTTCTTTGTTCTTTGAGAACACTCAATGAAACCTATTTACTGTTAAGAGTTGGGATTCTTGGCCCTTAATGGCTCAATTCTTAAACTTAAGAAAGGGTATACTCATTTCCAAGGAATGTCTAAGGTACTTTGCCCATAAGCAATAAAAACTGTATACAGCCTGATAATATAAAACAAAGTTCAAAAGGATGGCAGACTACACCCCAAATCTAACAAACTTTAGTTTCCAATTTTCCTTTTGAGTGTTTCAAATTCATGCATGAGTCTAGAAACAATCTCAAGGGTTCGGGCTTCATACTAATAGAAAAATGAGTGCTTTTCCCTTGGAAGATTTTTGAAATCTTCAATTTAAGTGAGAGGTCAAGGCAACTAATACTGGGCCTCTTGCTCCTCAGAAGACAGAATGCAATTTCACAAACTCCACACATCTAGGGAACATAATAAATTCTCATTTGTTAAGTCTTTAAATTGCTAATTAAATTTAGCATTTTCATATATCTTTTTTTTTTTTTTTTTCGAGACAGGGTTTCTCTGTGTAGCTTTGCGCCTTTCCTGGAACTCGCTTTGGAGACCAGGCTGGCCTCGAACTCACAGAGATCCGCCTGGCTCTGCCTCCCGAGTGCTGGGATTAAAGGCGTGCGCCACCACCGCCCGGCTCATTTTCATATATCTTATGAAAATAACCACCTAAACTCTAACCCAATTCCTTTTCGAGAGCTGGATGGTTCCCATGCCTCTAACAGGCAATGGTGGGTGGCCAGCTGGTGAATGCTGCCATCTTTAGTACTGGAACAGTCTGCTCTTAAAAGCGACACTTGTGCTAGCTTGGGCAGCACATATATTGAAACTGGACTGATACAGAGAAGATTAGTATGGCCTTGTGAAAGGATAACTAAATCAATCTGTGAAGCATTCCATAACTAAAAAAAAAAAAAAATCTTTAGAGAAAAGCCATTTCTTAACACTGTAAGAGAAGGCAGCCAGGTATAGTGGCTCACACCTGTAACCCCAACATTCAGCAAAACTGTTGGGAGTCTGTGGCCAACATGGGCTATACAGCGGGTTTCAGGCCAGCCTGGGCTACAGTGGGACCCTGCTGTGGGGGGTAGAGGCAAGTGCTGGTGCTGGACTTCGAATAAAGCCTGTGAGCAGATCAGAGAAGAACAGCAAGTACAGAGGCAGGGAGCAGCAGACGTAGCCGGCCTGGGAGGGGCTGGCCGACAGTCTCTCAGCCTAGGCTGCCCACACAGGCAATGTTCATGAGGATGCAGGCAAGAAGGACAAGGCCACCCCCTGGTCCTGCTCTTCCTCTCAGGAAATGGTAAAGTCTGTTAAATGCTTTCTCTTTTAGAGAAAGGGAGCACTGGAGGCCTCCAAGTGACCAGAGAGCTACATTCCAATGGCTCTGCTACTGTAAAGTCAGGGAGAACCAGGGCAAATAAGAACTCCTGTGGCCTCAGTCAGGGGCCAGCTAGACAGCTCTGCTCCAACACTGCCTCCTCCGAGAGCATAGAAACCCAGAACGCAAAGTCAATTGCACCTACAAACCACAGAGTGCTAACCTGAGTTACGGCCTTGCACTTTACTGCTTTCCACCCACACAGTTCTGTTATTTCTGTTCTACCACCAGAGAGTGGGTGACCTAAGGTCCATCCCCAGAACTCACACAGTAGAAGGAGACTACCGAAGGTCCAAACTTTTCCTGTGACCTCTACACATGCATCATGGCCACCATCAAACAGTCCCAACAAGAACAGTCACACATGAGCCGGAGAGCAGAGAGGAGAGGCCAGAGATCTACAGCGGATGGGCAGTGACGATCACTGGAAATGTAGACTCTTGAGGCCCACACTGGCCTACTGAGCATGGCATCTCCAGGGCAGGAACTCCACCGCTGCACCTTGACAGTACCCAGACTTCCTCTACACCATCACTTCCAGAACCACATTTCTTCAAAGGACAGGAAAAGTCTTACTAGCATGTTATCTCTGGAACAGCATCCATGTGAGGACTGAGTAAACCGTAAAGTTCCCTTCCAAAGGGAAGGCTAGGGGACTCATTCCATGCCATGGCCAAAGGCCTGCTTCCTCTGGTGAATACTTTACAATGAAGGCACCCCTGAGAGGGATGAGGACAGAGACACCACTGCTTCTGTTGGTCAGCTCCTGCTGGAAATTTACAATCTATGCTGTCCATTTCCAAACTTTATGCAATTAAACATGTTCACCTTATGGCCAACATAAAATAGTTGCATGTACAATTGTGTGTCTGTATAAAACCATGAGAGCATAAATCTGCTTTCCTAATAATGGATATGCACATGGAACAAGTATTATCTAACAGCTTGGGCCATGTGTCTGGAGGAGATTTTAGTTCCAAGACTGAGAGTGGGAATCAGTTTCCTCAGTGTGTTTATATGCAGGGGAAGGACAGGCTGATCTCTGGGGGGCCTCTCTAATTCTGACTTGGGGGTAATGGGCGGAACACCAACAAGAAATGACCTCCTCCAGAGCCATTTGTTTAATGACAGTGCCCTGATCACAATCCAGTGACAGGACAATCCCCTTGAGGCCAGAGGTGATAGTTGACTCCAGCTGGATACCCATCCTGGCCTTATCCTACAAGGCCTGCTGGGAAGGGGCTGGCTACAATCACATAGAAAAAGTCAGGTCACCTTCTCTATAAGCAGTCTTCCTGAACATCAGAGAGCTGGAAAGGGAAGTAAAACTGGGCTGCCTGCCTAGAAGTAATTCCTTTAATCCAAGATCAACATCCTGATAACACTGGCCTACTCCCCTGTAGTCAGGGAACACTCAGCCTGACAGGGCTGGCTTGGGGAAGTCTGCTGGAAGAAAGGCTGCTCTTCCCAGTGGACTGGCCCTGAGACAGCAGAGGAGGTGGCGGCCAAAAGTTCCACCTCCTGAAGCTCTTTCTCCCCCTAATTCCAGTTCTCCACACAATCCCAGCAAAACCTGAGCAAAACACAGGATGCACACTCATTATAAGGTGCAGACTCTCATCTTCCTGGGGACATTTCCGCAAATCCAAGAGGTACTAAGTCTTTGAGCAGTTCTGCAATTAAACGCCTGGCTCATCTTCTCCAGGGACGTTTCTTGATGAAATTAGGCAGAGGCTGGGGAAATGGCTGTGGTAGGTAAGTGCTTGCTGTGCAAGTATAAGGATTCAAGTCTAGATCCCTAGCATATAACATGTATGACATATAACATGTATAACATATAACAGGTATGACATGTATGCCTGTGACCCAGTGCTGGGGGACAGACACAGGCAGATCCCAGGGATTCCCCCTCACTTACTGTGGAGAAATGCCAGAATTCTGTCAGAACCAAAAAAATTTGCAGACATTTGGTATTTAACTCCCAGGATACTGACATATGCAGACAAATATGGCCTCTTTCCAACATTCTTGCAATTCTTGGATCGTAACAGGTGCAAATTACTTCTAAAATTCTAACACTATTTTTTTTTCTTAAATCAGTGGGAAGTTTTCACTGATACGTTTGCATCAAGATGTACAACACTGGGCCTGGAGAGATGACTCAGTGGTTAAGAGCACAGGCTGCTCTTCCAGAGGACTTGAGTTCAATTCTCAGCACCCACATGGCAGCTCACAACCAACTGAACCTCTAATTCCAGGGGATCTGGTACTCTCTTCTGGCCTCAGCAGGCACACATGCAAAAATAGTCATATACATAAAATAAAATAAAGAAAAATTTAAAAAGGATGCACAATGCTTAGAACATAATAATACACACAAAAACATTTGCTAAGTAAATGGACACTATAAACCTTCTATTTGCCATGAAATAAGAGCATATTACCTACCATCATACCCATACCCACTCTACAGGAGAAGCTGAGGGCTCAAAGCATTCCTTTAGTTAACAAACACAGCCTGTACATCTACTGGGTGCCTGGCACCCCTATAAAGCATTAGAAATACAGTGGTGGACAACACAGGAAACTCTTGTGCTCCTATAGGACTCAGTATCAGGTGCTTCTGAGACTAGGAAAGGATGTGATAGCACCAGGGGTAAAACCATCTGACTCGCCAGTCCACCCAGGGTGTCTTGTGCTTATAATTAGGTCAGGAACACTGCAGTCTCCCCGGGGCTTCTCAGCTTCTTGCCCTCTGAAAGCCTCATACATACCAGTCCTGGGACATTAGCTGAACTAAGTACCTTTGGTAGAGGGGATTTACAGAAAACTAGTTAGATGTATCACACTTCCCAACTCCCCATTCCCATACCATAGGGTAGGCACTCTATGAAAGCAAAGCAAATTCAGCAGAACCCCGGCCTAGGAGGACTTAGGGAAAATCCCACTTAGATGTCTCTAGATAGCAGAACCCCAAATTCCTAATCAAAACCTCTTTCCCTCTCCCAGTCTGAAAATCATTTCCACAACAGTAGGGTTCTTCTCTCCTTTTGGAACAAAGAGAGTTACCATTTATTTTCTGTTCTGCCTAGAGATAGAAAGGCTGCAACCAGTGGCTGACCATTAAGTACTTCAACCAAGAGACCTGTCTTCTCCCTCAGATCCCTTGGCCAGGTGGAAATCAGTACCGAGTACACTTGGTGCTTGTCTTAGTTAATTTTCTATTGCTGTAACAAAATATCATGACCAAGGCAACCTAAGGAAGAAAGCATTTAATTTGGGGCTCAGGGTTCCAGAAGGCAGTAGTGGCCATGACCATCATGCAGGGGAGCATGCTAGCAGACAGGCAGGCATGGCACTGGAGCAGTAATTGAGAGCTTACTTGTTGCAATAACAACCATGATATAGAGATGGCTAACTGGGAATGGCACAGACTTTTGAAACCCCAAAGCTCACCCCCAGTGACACACCTCCTCCAACAAGGCCATACCTCCTATCCTTCCCAAATAGTTCTACCAACTGGGGACCAAGCATTAAAACATGAGCCGATGGGGGCCACGTTCATTCAAACCATCACAGTGCCCCTCCACTTCTCAGGAAACAGTTATCTTGGAAGGGGAAATTAACTGGCAGTGTACATAGAAGGAAAGAAATATGAAACAGCCAGTTAGTGAAGGTGGCCTTCAGGAATGCCTCAGGGGAGGAAGTCTAGCAATGCAGGGCAGAGCAGGCCCTCCAAAGCTAGCAATAATAGGTGTCAGCACTCTTAGCCATGACAAAGCAAAGATACTTGAGGGCATTGTTGGCGATATCTCCAACTCTGCATTTATCTACTTAAAAAAATTACATTTTCTATATTAGCATATATTTATTGTATCATAAAAACAATGGGCTTTATTATGACATTTCATATATGTATTCCCATCTTCTGTCTATTACACTGAAGATCTTCCTCTTCCCAAGTAAATTTTTTCACTTCTCTCTCTCTCTCTCTCTCTCTCAACTCCAGATTCCACAGGACAGAGAATATACAACATTTCTTCTCTCTCTCTCTCTCTCTCTCTCTCTCTCTCTCTCTCTCTCTCTCTCAACTCTAGATTCCACAGGACAGAGAATATACAACATCTTTCTTTATCAGTCTAGGTTATTTTGCTTGGCATGGTATTCTCTACCTTAACCCATTTTCCTGCAAATGACATAATTTAATTCTTCATGACTGAACAAAACCTCACTGTCTGTGATATATTTTCTTTATCCATTCATGTACTTAACATTTCATTTTATAATGATGACAGTAATGTCCCAGATCCTGTCCAAACACTTCCCAAAGTTAACTTATCTGACCTTAAGTGACAGTTTATGAAGTAGGAGCCATCATGATCTAGGGTCTCTTGCTCAACAGCACACAGCAAGCAGGTTAGGCAGGAATTTACCCAGAGGAGGCCTGACTCCAGGGACCAAGCTCTTAACAGATTCCTTATCTTAGGAGAATTTCCCAACAACAAAAATAACTAAAGTCCAAGTA